GGTGAATAAAGGAAGAAAAAAAAAGGGTTGCTTCCCCTCCTATTTTATAGCACAATATTAAAAAAAGTGTAAATAATAACACTCCCTCATGTAATTCAAGTGGTTACGTTTCTTCGTATAAAAAGTAAGGTAGAACGTAATCTATGATTATTAGGTCGATTTCTTAATCTGTACTTCAATAAATATTAATTTACTAATCATGTTATTTACTATCAAACTAAAAAAATATATAAATAATAAAGAAAAAAAATTAAAAATTATTCAAAGAAAAAAAATAACTTATCAACTAAGAGACTAAGGAAATGAATTTTAGTTATAGTTTAAAACAATGTTTTCAAAACCGAACCGGAGGTTAAATCGTTTTGATCTTTGGTTCTCGATTTTAACAGTTCAACCGATTTAACCAGTTAAAAAATTGGATTGATTAAAATTTGAAAATATATATTAAATTAAATATAATGCAACTCATGTCAAAAAATTACTTGTTGCGCTGATAGTTAGAACTTTTAATTTTATTGAGGAGAATCACAGTTCTAGTGACAAAGTTGTTCAATTTATGTAATTCTACCATAAATATATCTTAACGCATGATTTAACAACAAACTTGAATTAGATCAAGTGGCACGAAGCTAATTGAGCTAGTGTTCAAACCTCACCGAACTTATTTTCCCTTTAAAATCTTTATAGCATTTTTTAAAAGATAGTCTTTGCAACTTACCTCACAAGACACGGGCTGGCCAAGTGGCAAATGGCTTGCTTCCCCTTCATGAGACCAGGTGTTCGAAATCCAAAATCCAATGGAGACAAATGTGTGAGAATTTTGTCCCAAGAGTTGACCGGTCGGTTTGACGGGTTACTGGTTCTCATCGGTTTAGACGGTCTGAGTGGTTTTAAGTGGTTCAATAGTTTAAACGGTTTGAAATATTCAACCGACCTGTTTCTTACACTGGGTGCCGGTCCAACCGGTTCAACCGGCCGGTCCGGTTTTCAAAACCTTGGTTTAAAACACAAAGGCACCTACGTGGCAGCATCCTATTAAGGGGAACACGTCAAAGCAGTTTACTACAATTATTTTTAGAAATTAATTTAAAGAAAATTAAAAAAAAAAGAGGGAAAAATCCAAGCCCATAGAAGGATCTAGAAACCCAAACCCTAACGAAGTCCTCCCTGCCTATAAAAGCCATAGAAGGATCTAGAAACCCAAACCCTAACGAAGTCCTCCCTGCCTATAAAAGCATCCTCTTCTCAGTTGTTTTGCCTCAGCCTTACTCTCTTGTGCTTCGCTCTCGCCGCAGAAACCCTAATTTCATCTCTTTCTTTTCTATTCTACGCCTTCGGTTGTTGAGAGCCAGCGTAATCCATGGCGGACACTGAGACGTTTGCTTTCCAGGCTGAGATCAACCAGTTGCTCAGCTTGATTATCAACACCTTCTACAGCAACAAGGAGATCTTCCTCCGTGAGCTCATCAGCAACGCCTCTGATGTACGTATCTCCTTCTTCCTTCATTCGTTGACTCGTGAAATCACGCTTTAGTTTTCATTCTATGAGTGTCTTGTTGAGTCAACTATTCCATGGTTCCTGCTTTTAGGGTTTATTTGTTGGATGGGTTGTGGGTTTTAACTGGTTTTCTTTTTTGTATTATATGCATGTCAAAGTTATGAGCTTTTCCTTCAGAAGGAATTTTTGATGCTCACGAAAAAGTAAAAGGGAAAAAAATAGATTATTGTATAGTAATTTAAGGTATCGGTATCGGTATCGGTATCAGTATGGAGGAATGTTAGAATTAGTTTGTTGATGCTATGATCCTAAATTCCTTTTAACTTTTTAAGAATATGGATTAATCTCATATTGGTTGAAGTTGTTGACGTTGTTAGTATTGTGTGAGGATAATTCTTATCCTGATTGAGATTGTTAAATAGTAGTTGTTTTTCTTGCTTTGGTTGGAGATAAGAATTAAACCAAAGTTATTCCAAAATATTGGGAAGGATTTACTCGTACTATAATAATTAATTGATGATATGTTGCTGTCATTATCCTTTTCCATTTCAGGCATTGGACAAAATCAGATTTGAGAGCTTGACAGACAAGAGCAAGCTCGATGCCCAGCCAGAGCTCTTCATCCATATTATACCTGACAAGACCAATAACACTCTGTCTATCATTGACAGCGGTGTTGGCATGACCAAGGCTGGTAAGTTCATGTCTGGAATTTTTTTCAGTCCAATGTTTGTGTGAGTAGTATGATTATGATGTTTTCCACTGATATGTCTGCTAATTTTTTTGCTCAGATTTGGTGAACAATCTTGGTACCATTGCAAGGTCTGGAACCAAGGAATTTATGGAGGCATTGGCTGCTGGTGCTGATGTCAGCATGATTGGACAGTTTGGTGTTGGTTTCTACTCTGCTTATTTGGT